AATAGCCTCAAAAAAACCTCAAATAACTAGGAGTAAACCTAACAAAGGATGTAAATGACCTCTACAAGGAGAACTCAAATCTTTGAGGAAAGAGATTGAGGAAGAGTACAGAATGTAGAAATATCTCCCATGCTCATGGATTGGCAGAATTGACATAGTAAAAATGGCTATACTACCATAAGCAATCTACATGTTCAATGCAATTCTCATCAAAATCCCAATGACATTCATCACAGAGATTGAAAAATCTACTCTAAAGTTCATTTGAAAACACAAGAGACCATGATTAGCCAAGGCAGCACTCAGCAAAAACAGCAATGCTGGAGGTATCAATATACCCGACTTCAAACTATATTATAGAGCCATAACAATAAAAACAGTATGGTACTGCCACAAAAACAGATATGAAGACCAGCGGGAACAGAATAGAGGACCCCGATATGAATCCACATAGCTATGCCCACCTTATTTTTGACAAAGGAGACAAAAACATATGATGGAAAATAGCCTCTTCAACAACTGTTGCTGGAGAAAGAGGTTATCTGCCTGCAGAAAACTGAAACTAGATCCATGCCTATCACCCTGTACTAGTATCAAATCAAAGTGAATTAAGGACCTTAATATCAGATCAGAAACTTTGCAGTTAGTATATGAAAGAGCAGGGAATATACTAGGAACAAAAGGTATAGGCAAGGAGTTCCTCAGTAGAACTCCAGCATCACAGCAACTAAGAGAAAAGATAGAAAAATGGGACTACATGAAGTTAAAAAGCTTCTGCGTAACAAAAGAAATGGTCCCTAAACTGAAAAGACTACCCAAAGAGTGGGAGAAAATATTTGCTGGCTATACATCAGACAAAGGACTGATAACCAGAATATATGGGGAGCTCAAAAACTAAACTCCCCCCAAATCAATGAACCTATAAAGAAGTGGGCAACTGAATTAAACAGAACTTTTTCAAAGGAAGAAATCCAAATGGCCAAAAATCATATGAAAAAATGTTCACCATTCCTGGCCATAAAGGAAATGCAAATCAAAACCACACTAAGATTCCACCTCACCCCTGTTAGAATGGCTACCAACAAAACACCACCAACAGCAAATGTTGGTGAGGATGTAGGGAAAAAGGAATCCTCATACACTGCTCATGGGAAGGTAAGCTAGTACAAGCACTTTGGAAAACAGTATGAAGCTTTCTTTAAAAAACTAATCATAGATCTGCCATATGATCCAGCAATACCACTCCTAGGGATATACCCAAAGGAATGCAACTCAGGTTATTCCAAAAGCACCTGCACACCCATGTTTATTTCAGCAGTATTCACAACAACCAAGTTATTGAAACAGCCCAAATGCCGCAGTGCCAATGAATGGATTAAGAAAATGTGGTACTCATTTACAATGGAATTTTACTCAGTCACAAAAAAGAATGAAATTTTGTCATTTGCAAGTAAATGGATGGAACTGGAGAACATCATCTTAAATGAAGTTAGCCAGGCTCAGAAGGTCAACAATCATATGTTTTTCCTCATATGCAGATTATATACCTAAAACAAATGCAGTAATATTATTGGACATAGGTCACACACTAAGGAATGAACACATACAGGAGGAATAGGGAAAGGGAAGAAAACCTAAAACTTGAAAGTGGGTTATGTGCCCACTGTAGTGGAGTGAATAAAGTAACCTTAAATGGTGGAGGCCACTATGAGAAGGTGACCAGGAAGAAGTGAAGAGGTCTGGTGGAGATGAACCAATTTGGGTAGTAATGCACATGTGCATGGGAGCAATGCTAGAAATCTCTCTGTATAGCTATATTTATCTCAAGCTAGAAAAAATGCTATGTCTTTCTTATTATTGCTTTTATTTTCTCTTCAACAAAATTGGAGAAGAGGGCAGAACAGGTTCTGCCTGGAAGCAAGGGGATCGGGGGAGGGGCTGTGGAGTGAGAAGCAAGAGGGAGAGATGGCCCAAACAATGTATACACATATGAATAAATGTATAAATAATTTTTAAAAATCAATTTCAGCATTAGACAATAAAATCCTTTATTAAGATGCCAAAAAGAAAAAAACAAAGATGATAGTACTATATGATGTAACTTACTGTTGTGGCTCAAGAATAAGTGAAGAAATATTATTTTTCTATTATGGATCTTCTGCTTGTAAAAGCTAATTTCTAGTGAATCAACCACCACAAAAAAGAGGGGAAAACTCTCAAAAAAAAAGTATAAAAGAAATCCATACAAGTATTGGGTAGCTTCTGTATTATTTGTTAATGTTTATGATGTATCACTAAGATCATCTGTTCAAGACTATCCTGCAGCTTAAAACATCTGCTTGCTGAGCATCTTCTTTCCCACTGTCTTGAGTTCTCTTCTCTCTTGCAGCTGATACATGCTTAGAAATGTGTGATGTATCTAGGGAGTCGCATTAAGTGATCTGTGAGAAACAGATGACATTGCAGTAGACCAAAAGACACCATTAGATACATTTTGTCTTTTCTTTAGAAAATCAAATACATTTAAAGGACCAGACTTTGGGTACCTGACAATGGTACTGAGTTCTCCATTAACTCCAGTTAGAAACCAGAGTCTAGCACAGGGCTTGGCACTTAGTAGTTTTTAAATAAGTATTTATTTAATAAATCAACAAAAACTATCCCAGCAAAAATTTGAAACAAAGGCAATTATAATATACAAACTTTATTGATTAATCCAAAACATAACTTTGTTTTTTTAAAAAAAAGTATAAACCAAATTATAGCCTTTAATTCATAAAATGAGGCTTTTCAGGGTAGAAGCCCCAATTAACCAGCACAGTTCTTACAACGCTGAAGACCATTCTCATTGCAAGCTGTACACTTCAAGGCCTTGAAAGAGTCTGTAAAGCAATTTCGAAATACTGACATCTTGCTCCCATGGCACACGGAGCACGGAAGAAAGCCAAAACCTCCACAGGAACGACACTCGTGTGGATGCTGCACTCTCTGCACAGGATGACAGGGGACAAAAGTTAGAAAATGTGTTAGCATGAACAATTCAATCAGTCTTCCCATCATTCTGTACTGTGTAAGGTTGTAAAATAATATTGGCATTACTTACTATGGCTATACACTTGAAATCACCTACTAACATTATACATCAGACTGAGGGGGAAATTAGCTAAAGTCCTCCTTCATTACCCCATTGACTGCCATGGATAGCACAGGCTTGTTGCACAGTAAAGGCTGGTAAATTTTAGGTTAAATAATATGCCTTTAAGAATTCCATCACATTTTTGCAAAACAAATAATTTAGGAGGTAGTTATTCAAATTAAAGGAAAATACTTTAATGTTCCCACTAGTATCTCTTACCAGTTTTATGTCCTTGTTTATAGAATAGGACCTCTAACAGCAAATTTGGAAAATTGGAGAACTATGTTCTAAAATATACAGGGACTACAATCAACTGAAAATCCACTGCTATATTTCCAATTTGAAAATGCTTTATTCTTTTCAAAGCATTTCAAATGCATTATGATGTTGAATCTTCCCCCATTCTTCCCTCCACATATGTAGGTGTTTGCTTTGATAAAGATATCATTCAAGCATCATTATCCTCATTTTATACTTAAGGAAACAGTCACAGATAATGTACATCCATAAAACTTCCCTACTTCTCTAGCAGTAGAATGAAAACAACTAGTCGATGTGTTGAGGGCAAAATTTTGAAAATCATTATGCATTTCTACTTTTTGAACATGCTGCCTTTGTTGGAGTCCACTAGGTGGAGTCTATCAGGTCAGGGAAGATTGGGTGCCGTTATAAAGTGAATAAAAAAAGAAAAGCCATGAATCGATTCTCAGCTTCTGACTTAGAGAATAGAAATTAGCAGACAAATTTGAAAGCCTAGCTTTGTAAAAAGAGTACTTACCAAAACAAGGTTGGGAAATACACACACACACACGCACACACAAAGACACACTCATAGAGACATGCATAGCATACACATACATAAAGCTTTTTTTTGGAGACTTCTATTTCCACATGTACAAGTCTCCAAAAATCCAACTGGAAAAGAACTTGATTAACTGTATTTAACCCACCATTTCTCTAATGTATACCACTAACAGAACCCAGGAAACTTTTCCTAGGAAATAAATATAATTGTTTCATAATAAATAACTTGTGGAATATACCCTGAAAAACAAACATAAAAACATGATTGACTTATAATTTACACATTTCCACATCAGTTTTCAATATGCATTTTCAGGTATGTAACAATATTCACTTATAATTACTATTTGACTTAGCTCTTACATCAAGATGGCAAAACCTATGAAAATTTTCAGTCTTAATAGCCCAAAATTACTTTGAGATAACGTAGTGGTTGCCAATCTGACTAACACAAACAAGGAACTTTGTCACAATTATAGAGATGCAAAGGTCTTCCAAACAATACATCAAATGTATGTAGCAATTTTGTTATTTTGCAAATGGATTTCTGTCATTTATATATGCAAAAATTGACCCTCAAAAGGATGCACTGGACTTAAATCTTTTATATTAAAATTTCTTTGGAAAAAATACTTATGAGTAAAAACAAAACAAGCCCAGTAATGGAAACAGAATGCTTTAAAAATATAGACCTAAATATAGGCCTGTAATCCCAGCTACTCATGAGGCAGATAGTGGGAGGGCTGTGGTTCAAGGATACCCTGAGCAAAAAGTTAGTGAGATCCCATCTTAACAAAAGAGCTGAGCATGGTAGTGTGCACTTGTTGTCCCAAATACATGGAAGCTCTAGATAAAAGGATTGCTGCTCAGGCTGGCCCTGGCCAAAAATGCAAGAGTCTATCTAAAGAAAAAACATTAAAAAGTAAAAATCCTACAAAGGTAAAAGGGCTGGACAGGTGGCTAAAGTGGCAGAGTGCTTGCCTAGCAAACACAGGCCTTGAATTTAAATCCAACAACAGCAAAATAATGTTTTAAATGAAGGAATTAGTAAGTAATGGTGTTCTTTTCCAATTTTATAAAGAAAACAGATCCTTGGCATCACTAAAGCTATGAAAGTAATTTACATTAAAAATATTTAATAACTTATACAACAAGTGCACCAGCTAGATAGAACTGATGCTGGACCAGCCTAGAACTACAGCAAGAAACCATAACACTCCAGCATCCAGGACTTCACTCGTTGCTGTTGGATTGTGAATAGGTCTGGGATTCTAGTAAAGCAGGATTGTCAAATATTGCAAATGAGTATACAGAATGTTCAATTAAACTTGAATTTCAAACAGACCATAATTTTTGTATAAGTATATATAAAATATGCACAAAATGTTGCATTGGACATACTTAAACTATAAAATTATTCACAATTTATGTGAGATTTAAATATAAGTGGGCATTCTATATTTTATTTGGCAACCATATAGAAAAAAGGCTGCCAGACCAGAGGATTGATGTTTGGGCGGCAGTTCTTTATCAACCACTATAAATTATTTAGTATCTTAAAACACAGTAAAAACATGTTTCAATATTTTTAAAAACCAGTATAGCTGTACCAGTATACATTACCTGAATACCAACTTATCACTTCCTGGTGCATCCCAAGACACTTGCAAATGACTACATTTTTTAATAGCATATAGTTTTACCATAAAATATATTTGTGATGACAAAGAACAACAAAAGTGAAATAAGATGTGAGTGCTAGGCAGCTTCCTAGGCTCATTCTCTTCCTATTTTACTCACCCCAACACTAGGCTGCTAGTATGCAGAATTCAAAATGGTAACACAACAAAATTAAAAATTTTTCTACATCAGGGGCCTGTAATATGGCTTACAAAGATTACTTTCAAAAGGAAATAAAGGCCAATTGTTAAATCCACTAAAAACAACAGTCTATTTCTTCATAATTTATCCAAAAAGCACAGTAAATAAATGTCACAAAACAAAATTAATACATTAATACCAAAAGCTCCATTTCCATGTTTAAAAAGAATCACAAATAGATCAGGCCATCCTGAAATCCTTTCTTCAGAACTCATAAAATTCTGTGATGTGATGTGTATTTTACTCAGAGTTATTGAGATGATTCAATGAATTATTTTACATACAATGAATAGAACATTGCCTGGCACATAGGAGACACTCAATAAGATTAGTAATTATTGGCCATTATTTCATTTATAAATATCTATCTAAGTTTTATAGACTAACCGCTATTGCAGGCTAAATTGCCCAGGGTCACATAGCACAAACATTTTTTATCAGCTGAATCATTTGATCTAAATATATCTATATTTAGCTTTCTTGGTGAAGTTGTTTAAAAAGTACTCAGTGGGTAGGATCTTTATACTTTTTAATTCATTACAAAAATCTTTATCGAGCATACACTAGCAGAACACTATGCAAGGCATTGGGAATACAGCATTGAATTACACTTCCTTGTTCTACTAATAATAGCTCCCAGCCCTACCCCTAGGTCTTTGAAAAGATCTACTTCAGTCATGTAAATTGAAACTTACAGAATTCTCAAGTCTCTAACAAAATAATAAGGGGACAAGGATACAAGGGTGGAATACCTAAGTGATTGTCAAATAGATTTACTTTGTAGTACAAATTCAAATTTCAGCAATATATAATGTATTCTAGGTCATCCAATGCAGAAACAGGATCAAGAGTCTATGTTTTCTTCAAGATCAGAAAGTAAAGCACTTATTATTTTTAACTTCAAATTATATAATCTTATTCCAGTAGATTTTAGAAGTCTCTTAAATACCCTACCAAAGCAAAGGCAACTGGTGACCATAAACTTCATCATCTAGATGGTTTATGAAGTCTACTTATTTATGTAACAAACGGTCAACAAGTCCACACTTGGGATATAATCATCTCTGAATAATTAAATTCTGTCTATATATTTTAAACTAGAGTCAACCTTTTAATTCAGCATATATTTGCTAAGTACCTACTAAACACCTCACTGCCTGATCAAGTTGCTAAAAAAATAATACCTTTCCTGTGTTCCAGCATTCTCAGTTTGCAGTTTGGAAAGAAGCCATTGGACAAACTGCACAGGAAATTTGTAGCTTATAATCTTAATATCTCTCTGAATGTAGGTGCCTGATTCTCCACCCAAATTGTTTGGACAGCCACAAACCTACATAAATGGGTATTTAATATTCAGAGAGAAGCAGATGGTATCACCTGATTACACAGGTGAGTAGGTGGTTCTCTATTGCCATGGCCTCTGAACATGCCATGCCCACTCCCACCAAAAGAAGAAACATCCAGAGCTGTGCTTCTCCAGGGAGGCTGAGGACAGTCTTTGACATCTCCAGTGCCTTATACACACAGCCTGTGGCATTTCTACCATCCTCATGTGTAGCTAAGGAGTCTTTCCTCTGTTCTTCACAGTAACAAATAGAAGTTACCAGCCCTCAGGGGAGAATCAAACTAAGTAATTCTTAGAAACTTTATAAGAAAACAAGGACAGAAAATGGGCACTATGTTGGTAATTTCAGTAGACATACCAACAAAACTTTCTGTCCATGTTTTAAAAAAATATATGGCTAGGCAAAAGCTTACTTAGAACTTCTTTGCTATTGAAGACTTTTACTCCAGTGTCTGCCAGAACCAGTGGTACGCTAATACATCTCAGTAGTACCCTGGCTTTCTCTGTATGGGAGCCAAGAGAATCAACTATCCACTTCAATGATCATTTTAGGGGAAATCCTAAGACTTTTTTTTACTTCTAATCTCCAGTCTGATTATTAATGTTAATAAAAGAATACAAATAAAAAAATCTTACTAAAAAATCTTTTTCACCCAAGCATTCTCCTATATAAAATAATAACTTTCCTCCCAAATCCTTGGATAAAGAAGGATTTGTTCATCTATTCATTCAACAAATATTTGCATATTGAGTATATACCAGTTTCCTAAGCACTAGAAATAAATAATTGAGCAAAATAGACAAGAATCTATATCCCCATGAAGCTCATATCCTACTAGGAGAATGAGCTGCAAACTGTCAGAGCTACTAGCTATAAAGACCCCAGGTCTTTGTACTAACCATCACATAAATTACTTGCCTCTGCTCAACAAGCCACACCCACTGAGCATCCCAGAGCAATTTTCTCTTGAGCAGGATGTATGCTAGAATTCTGAAATACTTGAAATTATTTGCCAACTTCATTTTGATGGTCCAAAAATCTGCTAAGCTTCTTTCTTCACCATCACTTGGGATAACTGCTGAAAACTGGTACCTGATTATGAATACTATAGACAGTTATAGACTGTGGTACGCAAGTAAGAGTAGAGCTTGGCAGGATCCCTCTAATTTCTCTCTAAAGATATCACCAGTTTCCAGTCTTCCAGAATCCTCCACTGGTATCACAGCATGGTGTTAAATTCCAGTCTTTTGCCTGGAGCTAATACTTCTTTTTAACCTTCTAGTACATTTCTCACCCAGACTTTTCATCTTGCCATGGTATGGTCAAATATTCCAGACACACATGTCAGTTGATTTGAGAGTCATGACTGCATAAGCTCAAAGTTAATATCATGGGCTATGGAGTCATACTGAGTAAAATCAGAAATTAACCACTTTCTGTAAGGCCTTGAGCAAGTGATTTACTCTCTTGTCCCTCATTGGTAAAATAGAGGTAATAATAAAAGGACCATTTTAGCAGAGTTGTTATATGGTTTCAATCACTTAAAATATATAAAGCACCAAGAATATCACTTGCTATAAATTAAAGGCTCAAATGTTTCTTGCTTTGTGGATATTTAGCTCCTGCTTCACTGTCAAAACCAACCACAAGTATGGGATGGTTCAGATTTAAATCTTACATCCCTATCCACTTTGCTTGATCTCCTAATGATTCTGCAAAGCCAGTCTTTTTATGTGAGTTGTTTTCTCTAAAATCCCATCCCCTTCTCAAGCACAGTTCTAGAATTTCTTGGCTGGCTGCAAATTCTGTATCGTTTTTATTATGTGGACAAGTCAGCCCAACTGAATTATGGCACCTTGATATTCTAATAAAAGTAGAAACCAGAATCATACCACCATTTTGAAAATTGGGAATAGTCATAAATATTTGCACCTTATTTACATTGCTTATAAAAATAGAGAAAGAAAAAAGCTTTTTCCAAGTATTTTAAGCTGAGATAGAATGGTTATGTTAACCTAGCATGAGGTGTTAAGATGTAGAATTAAAAATGGATAAAAAGGAATGAAATTTCAGATTATCAAAATTGACTGTAAATTTGTATGAAGAAAACTATTGAGGCTTAGCCATCTTATAAGATCCTAAAAGGCACTTTTAAACTATAGACATAAAAACAGTATGACATTGGTGTAATAAAAATATAAATGGATTAATGGAACTCAGTAGAGATTTCGGAGAAAGACTGAAATATATGTGGAGATGTATTATAAAATAGACAACACAGAAAAATAAAGAAATAATAAATTATTTGGTGGATGGTATTTGGAAGTTAGTTCACCAAATTTAAGAAAATAAAAGTAGCTGGGAGTCAGTGGCTCAAGTCTGTCGTCCTAGCTACTTGGGAGACTGAGATCAGGAGGATCATGGTTCGAGACCAGCCTGGACAAATAGTCTGTGAGACCCCATATACAAAATAACCAGAGCGAAAGAGACTGGAGGTGTGGTTCAAGTGGTAGCACACTTGCTTTGCAAGCAGGAAACCCTGAGTTCAAACTGCAGTCACACCAGAAAATAAAAAGAAAAAAATAGTGTGTGTATACAGCAGATATAAAAAGACAATTACAAAGTTAATAGAAGAAAAGATAGCCTTTGCAACCTTAATATAGAAGAGTACTTTGTAAATAAAAGCCAAAATCATCAAACAGGAAAATGTAATAGATTTGATCACATCAGAATATAGACTTTCTGTTGAAGGACACCATGGAAGAAGCTAAAAGAGGGAAGGAAATATTGTCAATGACTAAAACAATGCAGAAATTAAAATCTATAAAATAGAAGAGTCAGTCTTCTAAAAATCAAAGCTGATCAAAAGACAATTTCAAGTATTTTAATGGGCAAGGTTTAAGAATGCATACTTTACTGAAGAGGAAATGTAAAAGTCTAACAAACATAAATTCAACAGCAATCTGAAAAATATAAGTTAAAATAATGTGATATAGCTCTATACATACTAATTTGCAAAAAATTAGAAAATGGGACCATGTAACATATTTCCTGGAATGTGGAAATGTAAAAAAACACTTTCTCTACAAAAGGGAATGTTGACTGGTATAGCCGTTCCAAAAAGCCATCTGGCGCTGTGTAGAAAAATAGGTACACATCTGAGTTAGGATCAGCCTTTTTCACTCTCAGGGAAATCCATAAGAAAACATATTCAAGGTTGTCCTTTGCATCACCGATTGTTTCAAGGGGAAAATTGGAAGATGCCTGGGTGCCCATTAGTGAAAATGTGGACAAATAAAGAGAGTGGTGGGTACTATGAGCCACACTATCCAAAACAGAACCGCTGCCCACGTAAGACAATTTTAATCTAAATTTAAATCAAGTAAAATTAAATAAAATTTAAAATTCAGTTTTTCAGTCATGCTAGCCATACTTTAGGTCCACAATAACCATTTGCTATTATTTTGAACAAAACAAACACATCCTCATTCCATCATTGGAGAAAGTCCTATTGAACAGTGCTCCCTTGAAAAAGTATGCAGCAGTTAGAAAAATAGGTTAAATGTGCACATATCAATACAGATGGCTCTTAAAAACACCTTGCCCAATGAAAATATTTCAAAATCAAACAAAATTACATAACACCACTTACATAACTTAAAATGTGCAAAGATCTATTAATCAAGTTAAATGGCTTAAATAAAATGGTACATATTGATCTAAGTTAATTGTTACATGAGATTGGAGTAGAATATGAGAACATAAGGAAAGAAATAATTTGGTCCATACAGAATTTTTCGCTGAGAGGAATTTTAGATGATCAAGTTGCATATCCTTACTTGACAGATAAAGAAATCAAAGATCCTGAGAGGTGAAAGACCATAGCCACATAGCTACCAGTGAGCTAAAATCTTCTAATTTTCAAGTCATAATCCTTCAAAAATTATAAACTTTGAAAACCAATGAAATTTAGACCACTTTTATACAAGCAGGTTGACTCTCTAAAAAATATCGTATAGTTTTGAATTTAGAAATCAGATCATGGTCCTTTCTCTTCCTATATCCTAGAGACCCTTCTTCTTCACAAGCACTTTCTCTCTGGCTATCATCTCTATTAGACCAAAGTGTATAAATGCAATGCTATTGTTGTTATGACAGAAATGAGTACAAAGCTTTTCTGAGTTATTGCTATTGCAAGCAGCTCTGATCAAACATGATGTCTTCTTTAGCAAAGTGCTTATAACTACTACATACTTACTAAATGAATGAATATATTGTGTTTTCTTCTGGACAAGATCATGATACAAATTAAAAATGATTCCTATGAATAAGGAAGATAGTTCATTTGAGACATGAATTAAATACCCCAAGAAAGTAATACAAGGAAGACTTTGATAAGCACCCAACAAAAAAGGTTACAGTGATTCAGAGATAGAAGAGATTAGAAAGGATGTTTTGACGAAGTGATATACAGCACATGGGCCGAGAAGATGGCAGAAGGAAAGGAAGAACTGGAAAAAGAGCACTCTAGGCAAACAGAGGAACTTACATAGAGGAATGGTAGTAAGAAAGGACAAGAAATCACATCATTTTTTATTTTGACTGAGGTGGAAGCCATGTTAGAGAATCAAAACTAAGGTTAGTTTTGATTAATGGAAGATAGGCCAAAAAGAGTCAGTAGGAGAATGTAGATGCTCAGTGATTCTATGACTAGTCTAGTACATGGGAAAGGCCTGATTAATGTTTGCTTTCTCATAGTGATCACTAGTGTATACTTTTCACTCTTACAGTGACCCAGCCTAGATGTTAAAGCATATGGTCTTCCTATATAGAAGGATAAAGAGCTTGATAAAATAATTTAGCAGAGAAGCAATAAGGACTTTCTGGTTGCAAACAAACTTGATACATTATATATTTGGATAAGTATTTTTCTGATGCTGTAGTTATTAGAATAGGAACAAAAATTAAAATGTGTTTTTAGAGAAATAAGTTTTTCTTTTATTGTAAGGCATGATGAGCTAGTTCATGGAAAAGGCGAAATAGTTTCAATGGCAAATTTTAAGTGTGCTTCAAGACAATTGCCTGACTTAAAGTACCTCATCAACGTCTCTATTATAGAGAATTAGACTCAAATAAAGCTGACCAGAATTTTCAACTAATAGTAGGAGGTTGTTAGAAGATAACATTAAAGTCACTCTAGCTGAAGCAAACCTAATGGCAGGTGATAGCCAATTAAAACTGTCACTTGTATCCTGTTACACATTTGTAAGAACATGAGAGGAAAATTCAATTAGGAAAACTCAATTATAATCAGAATGTGTTTAGGGTTTTAATTTCTAAAAATAAGTTGCTGAAAGTACAGTTACCTCAATTTTGGTTAAGAGGTCTTGCAGTTCTCCTGATTCATTCATTGACAAAATTTTCTCAGCACCCTATTAACAAAAGAGGGAAAGGTGGGGGAAAGAAAATCCGTTCTGTTAGTATTTGAGAGTACAAAGTTATAATAGGAGAACTTAACTCACAAAATAATCAACATGATTCTTCCCTTCATATCTGAGTAAACTTATAACAAGGAGGCCAAAAAGAAGTTTCTCTTTACTATCATAGATTTGTCCCTCTAATAAGGCTTCCTAGTAGTCTTAGAGAAAGCTGCCAGCAGGAGGCGAGCTCTGGCAAACCACAGATGTCACATCAAGTCCAGACATGGAAGGATCCAACACATCCTTCAGAGTTGTTCAAGGAGCTTGGAGCCAGCTCTACCATCTGAGAAAGGAAACCTATGAGCAAGTTTGAGCCTGGGATGTCTCTGCCCTACTCCAAACAGTCCTTGACATGCCCTCCTTACAGTCATGCATGTGACAATAACAACAGCTAATATAACGTAATACACTATAAACTGATGAATAATAAAGGAGTGTGGTGATAGGGAAAGAGTGAGTAATGTGGGGGTAGTCTGATTAAAGCATAATCTATACATACATGTCTGAAATGCCAAGGTGAAACCCCTTGGACTATCAATATACACTTTTTAAAAAAATGAACAAGAGGTCTTTTCCAGGGATGGGTACCAGTGGGGCAGGAAGGGAGGAATAAGGAAAGGGTGAATAAGAGTGAATACAATGGATGTATTTTGTATTCATATATGAAAATAGAAATCTGTTGAAATTGTTCTAAGTAAGGGGTGGGGGGAAGAGGGAGAACAATGGAGAGGATAAGTCCAACTAAGATATATTAAAAGCACATATGCAAATATTGTAACATATCCCTCTGTACAACTATTATATGATAATAAAAAGATCATCAAAAAATAAAAATAAACTAATAATAGTAGTAATAATAGCCAATATTGTTTATTGTGAATTAGGCAACAAGCACTATCTCATTTGACACAGTAGACTCAATTATTAGCAGAAATTAAGCTCCATGGCTTAAGAGGAAGCATAGAGGGAATTTGAACTTAAACAGGAGACTTACAAAAGAACTGATGCTTTTAACTTTCAAAACTTTACTGTGAAAGTTAAAAAAAAAAAGGGAGGGAGAAATATGTGCACTTCCCAATTTCTTTGAATTGCTCCAGTTTTCTCTCCTGTTTAGCTGCTTCTTACATTCTCCTATGTTTCCCATCATGTAGGGACGGAAGAAAGAAAAGGGGGTAATTATTTTCAATCAAAGGCAGACCCCCATATTTGCTTGTTCACATCATGTCTCCATTGCTTAGGAGAGTAGGGTCAAATCTATTTTTGATTAATGAACAAGACAGGGGGGAATATCATCACACAATAAATATTCCTTTTGAGATTCTTATTTTTGCTAGGCCAATACTCATTTAAAGAAATGAAAAGGTCCTAATTCCTATGGAAGTCACAATGTATTTTTCTATAAACACACATAGAATGGGAAATAGGTACCAAATGAGTGATGCAGAAAAAAAAGGTAGCCTAGGAAATCACAATATGGGGAGCAGAGGGGAAGAGATCTACTTATAGAGGCTATAAAAGGCTTTCTGGGGTTGGAGGCATTTGACTATTTGATTGGGACCACAAAGATTGTATGGCGTCTCTAAGATGGGGCAGGCAATTCCGTAGTGACACCAAAGAGCCTCTAATCCTTGGCTTCATTTTGTTTCATTCTATCTTAGATAGCTCGTGTCTTCTTAAAACACTATTAATAAATACACAGGGCTACAGAGAATGTATATAAAATTCTGTTCCTTTATCTGTTGGCAGTTTGGCCAGGAATACAGACGTGACACATGTAAAGTGAGAACTAAGGTAATGAAAGCATATTGACAGAACATTAAATGTAATAATAACTGGTAATATTTTAGTATTGCTGCATTCTATTCCTTTTAAGAGTTAGCTAAATTAAAGTGGGGAAAGCCTCTGGAGCATTTAGTATATGAACTAAGGCAGTAAGGAGAACATATGCCTTACTTTTCCTTAAGTAAAAGAAAATGCACCACAATGACTTCAAACAAAATGAATGTACCAGAAGAGCTATCATGTATCTGTTTCCCAACTCTTTTCTTACTGGGGCATTGTGCCTCACAGTTGTTTGGAATACAATGCTATGACAAGAAAGAATCTATTTCATTGCTCACAAATACGGTAAATTTGCTCTGTCTCAGCCAAATAATTCCAACAGTGATAATACTAAGGAAGTAGGTTCCACTTCTCAGGAGAAATGCTAGCTTTGCTTGAATCAAGTAAGGTGCTAAAAACATCATTATTCCTGGTTTTCAAGATGCCTGGATATCTAGTGGACAGGTGGTATACCAAGGGCTCAAGACTGAGAAAAATTTGTCTGGTAACTGAGAACAGGCAGCCAAATACCTACTTTCCTCTCTGAACTGCTGCTTCTTAACCCAACCTTCACAACTCTACCTAACCTCTTCCCATATCCTTTCCTTGAAACCAACTCCTGGTCTCTGTAGCCAGAACCCCCAGTTCCGTAGTTGATCCCATGTCTCTGCCCTCCATCAGACCATGTCATTGCCAGAACTAAGAGCAAGATCCTGGAATGGGGACAAGAAAATCAGATGACTCCTCCACTCTGATCCTAAGAGCAGTAGCCACAACAACAGCAACAAAATGGGGATCTCACCTAACTGGAATATTTTAGGGGATAATTATAGGTCCCTCCCCTCCTGAGGTTTGGAACTCTGTTATCAGAGTGTTCCTGAATCTTCTCTGTTTGTCACTCCATTTGCATATTCCAAAAGTCTCATTCCCTGCCTTTTTCCATCAAAGACATTCCACAACAGAGAATGTTGTTGTGGCCCACAACAGAGAATATACTTCCTTAAGCACTGATATGCTTAAAAATGTTTCTTTGGTTGGTACTTGGCTAAGAATATTTGTTACTTTTCATGCATAACTCCACCATTTAATTCCACACTGCTGGAAATTAGTTAATCATTCTATGACTTGGCATAGTTTACCAAGACTTCTGGGATACCTACCGAAATATTTCTGGTGTGCTTTTTAATCAACTCTGAATTGATATTTCTTTAAATATAATCCTGAAAATATTGATCATAGAGCAATAGTAATGTATTAAGTGCTGGTTTTAAAAAGAAAAACAAACCAGAGAATATATCAAACTGCAATTCTTTAGGTGCAAGTGACCACACTCATGTGACTTCATGATAGAATTCCAGATAATAAAAGTGAGAGGATGAATACTGTGCAAATGACTTCCTCTATCACTTCTTCAAGCTGGGCATTTGATGGAAACTGAAGAGCAAACCACTGGAGGTAAAACTCTCTGGTTCACTCGCTGATGAGGACCAGGAAGCTAAGACTGAGTCACTACTTGAACAAGAATCCTTCTGCATATGATCAGAGCAGATGGCCGGTTGAAGGAGCTCAACCAGTCCTAGCATGATGCCTGCCAAAGGATGTGCTCAAAAAATGTTTGTTGCTATGACTGCCATGCCCACCGGAAATGGGAGATTACATTAACTCTGCCTGTAGATGAGCCACCTGAGCCTGTTGGTAAGTCAGAGTCTACTCCAGGAAATCATCTCTGGATCTTCTCTACTGCATGAACAAACTCCATGGAGTCCCTGGAGTTGTACCAAACACTTACACCTGGAAAGTGTTCAAAGCAGGTGTTGCACTATCCCGCCAGTGTCTCAAACACACAGTAAAGGCTCCCGTGGATAATCTCACTCTAAAGAGCTTGGCTTTCCCGTGTCCCTGCAGGAAGAATTAACTAAAAATTAACTAGTTGAATTATTTCAAACAATTACGTTTCACAGACCTCTGGGTATCAGAAAATGCCTGCCAAACACAAGGATTTTAGTTTAATGTTATTACTGTTGAACCACTATTTTCAGAGTAGTTATGAAGAAAAATCTCCCATTGAAGCTAACTCTGATTTTTATAATAAAACTATGCAATCAAAATAGTTGATCATGGGAATGTATTATTTGCCTCTTTGTTGCAGAAGCAGCAGCAACAATAGCAACAGAATGGGAATATCCACCGAACTGGGATATTTCAGAGTATTTCAGGGATATTTCTTTAAGTTAATATCAAATTATATGAAAGTGATATCAAGTCACCATCTTTACAAAAAGGAAAAAGATAATATTGGGGGATTGGGCTAAAAGAAGCCAGAAGATTGTTGTAGATAATAGATTTAACATTTTTGGTCTGCTGCCTCCCCAAATTCCCTTTACAAAGGCTGACTTCTAAAATGTAGTGGTTAAGTTCACTAAGTTTTTGGTTTTTGTTTTTAAATAAGACAACCCAGAATTAAATTCCAGCTCCACTATTACAAGTTAGGTTAACTTGACGAGTAATTCAAACTTTTCATAGTTAATTTCCTCATTTGTAAAATGGGTATAATAATGCTTATAAGGTTGTCATAAGGACTACATGAAGTGATATGTAGTAGTCAAGAGCACTGTGTGGCACAAAATAGGAGCTGAATAAATAGAAGTCACTTAGCAGTAGTGGTAGTAAATTCCCTAAAATTCGATGACAAGCACACAAAATTTGGTCCACAAATTTTTCCTGTCTAGAATTAACAAATAATGAAAGATTAATGGAGATTAACAACAGTCTTGCATTGTTTTTGGATGATGACACCATAAATTAAAATAGAATGTAATTTTTTATAAAAGGGGGGAATGTAATAGTTAGACTTACTATGTTGTTACTATTCCTCATACAAAAATTGGGAAGAAAGTCCTAATTTTGACTGCGCATAGCGGCACATGCCTGAAATTCCAGCTATTTGGGAGACAGACATTGAGGAGATTGTGGTTCAAGGCCAACCTGGGCAAAAAGAAGTTGGTGAGACCCCATCTTAACAAATAAGCTGGTAATGTGAACCTGTGATCCCAGCTACATGTAAGACATAGGTAGAAGAATTACAATTTCAGGCTGACCCTGGGCAAAAAATGTGAGACCCTATCTGAAAAA